GGCACCTGACAACACCGCAGAAGTTGGGACAATTTCTTCCTCATTTTCCAGGTAAGGGAGCCGACGTTCTGAGCAGCTCTGAAACTTGCTGAGATTGGTAATCTCCTGAGCAATGTTGAAGCCTAGATCCGCCTGATCCAGTGCCTATTGTTCCAACACATTGACGTGAAAAAGAAAAAAAAACAAAAAACAAGAAAGGGGTCCAGGGCAGTTTTCTTTTTCTTGTTCTTCATTGTGCTGGTTTTCTTTTTCTGTCGTAAATGTGTCATTGATTTAGAAAAAAAGTCACTGCAAAGGAAGCTCCCCTTCTAGGCACACTTGTGGCATCGTTGTGCTGTGGGTTCCGATTCACAGCCACTCTGCAGAGCAGAGAAGAACGGTCTCATAGGAAGAACGTCTCTCCAGGAATAGAGCGCTAGGTCTTTTCCCTTGAGGAGGGGCTGGTGGGTTGCAATCACTGACCTTTTGGTTAGCAGCCAAGTGCTCAACTATTGTACCACCAGGCTCTTTAGGCATACAAAGGGGCTTCAAAAAATTCATGGAAAAATGGAATGAAAAGACCATGGAATTTGTCCACTAACTTTTTGAAGCCTCCAATTCTTGCTTTTGGAAAATGGTATTTTCTCAGGATCTGAGAGGCACATTTGGCTTTTCAGTTGCATAGGTTTGTTTTTTGCTTCTGCATATGGTGCATAGAATTAGGATCCTTAGAAGAATGTCTTTACCCAATACTTTTTGGAATAGATGTACAGTGTGGTCACTGCTGGGTATCATTTCCTGGCTGAATCTTCTTCAGGAACTCAGGCTGGCCGAGAGTCTCCATCCTGACAGTTTCAGGAAGAAGTAAAGCTTCTGGCCAGTCACTGTGATTAACGACACCAACTTCCTCTGCTATGAATAGTGTTTTAGGGAAACCATCCCAGCCCTCTCTATGTGCCTGGCACAATGCTGGGACACAGGCAAGTGGTGAGGACAGATTTGTGGAATGAATGAGTGCACTGGAGTTTGGTTACATACAAAGCATGGCCAGGTGTCCACACGTAGTCTTACACTGAGGAATATTGTTCTGAATATTGAAAAAGTAACGCAGTATGTGCTTATTGTAAACAAAACCATATAAGCACCAGTGTGAGTTCCCACTTGTTGTCCCCCTGGGTACAATTACAGTGTGATGTGTGTTCTGCAGGCAATTTCCTGTGCATCTACAAATATACACCAGTAACATATATATGTTATTTTACAAATGTAAATGAAATCTTACTATACAGCGCTTCCTTTTGTAGATTTTTTTAAAAAAATCTTAAAATGAAAATCTTGGAGATTTTCCCAAACCAATATGTATCCATCTGCCTTGTTTCAAAAGATGTTTATATTGTATCATATTTATTGTATTATATTCATGTGAAGTTTTTCCTGTAAGTTTGGTTATATATACGTGTTTGTACACACACACACACACACACACACACTCAGTGGGGCTTCAAAAAGTTTATGGGAAAAATTAATGAAAAGATAAAGGGATCTTTATGTTTGTTGTTAAGTGCCATTGAGTCTGTTCCGACTCACAATAAACCTGTATAGTGTTTCCTAGAAGCCGCTGATGAGCTTGAACCACCAACCTTATGTTTCAAATCCACTACTTTGCAGTCCAGTGCATTAACCCACAGTGCCACACTAGGAATCCTATATAATTATAGATATAACTGCATGTATATTATATAGATACAAGTACATTTATAGATTAATTATATAGATGTGTAGTGGTTAAGAATCGGGCTGCTATCCTCAGGGTCAGCAGTTCTAAACTACCAGCTGTTTCGCAGGAGAAAGATGAGGCTTTCTGCTCCCGCAAAGATTTACATCCTTGGAAACCCTATATGGAAACCCTAATATGTATATTAGTTCTATGTATATATAGAAGAGACTGGGATGGTAACCCTGAATCATCAAGAATCTGTGTCTAGACTCACAGAGTGTGCCCTTTGATTGTTTAAATGATTATATATTCCTGAGGGAATAGAAACAAATACTGTTGAATGATGATGCACAGAGGAGAGTGTACTCATTGCATGAAACGATGGTGTAAAACCGATTTCTCCAATGTAAATTACTGCTCAATTCACAATAAAAACTAAAAAAAAAGATCTATGTGTAAGTTTAGACTCTTCCAAAACGTAACCACTAATGACCTACACCTGATAACATAAACATTTTAGTAACATGCATTTTGTACAATGCATGCATTATGTATTGCATCTACATTATCTACTGCATTTGCACAGTATTTTGACAAAAGTGCCAAGGCTTTGCCCCTGCTGGGGTAGCTGTAGGGTGGCTTCAGGAAGTTCCTCTTCCCTTTTCCCAGCGGTAAATCTCAACACTGGATTCATTGATCTTGGAACTGCAGACCTCAGTCCGTGGTACTTCCTAAACAATTCAGCTGTTTCTGGTCTTGTCACAACTGTCCCTGCTTCTCAGGAACACTTCCAGTATCCCCAGTAACACTTGGACAGGTCCCGTGGTGGTACTCAAGGTGTACGCTATTGTACTAAAAATGATGAAAACGATATGAGAACCATGAGAGATCAGTTTTTATTTTCCAACTTTTATTGTGAATTGAGTGAAGATGTACAAACACGATCATCAACTTTACATTCAACAGATATTACACTTTGTTGCCCCTCAATAATTCCAGTCCCCTCCCTGCATCAACACTTACCTACTTCCTCCCTGTGGTTCCCCATTTACATCTTACATTTCGTAAATGAACAAAGCAGAATTACTTGATGCAGATACCCTTCAGTCTCTTCTGCTAATTGTTATTTGAGCTATGTCTTTTCCTTTCCTTTAGAGCGTTGGAGTCTGTGATTGTGATCCATTCATTATCCAGTTCATTTGTTTCTTG